GAAAGAAAGAGAAAGAAAGAAAGAAAGAAAGAAAGAAAGGAAGGAAGGAAGGAAGGAAGGAAGGAAGGAAGGAAGGAAGGAAGGAAGGAAGGAAGAGAGAGAAAGAAAGAAATTGAATAAAAAGCCAGGCAGTGGTGGTACACGCCTTTAATCCCAGCACTCAGGAGGCAGAGTCAGGCGGATCTCTTGAGTTTGAGGCCAGCCTGGTCTACAAAGCAAGTTCCAGGACAGCTAGGGCTGTTACACAGAGAAATTCTGTCCTTGAAAACCCAAAACAAAGCAAAGCAAAAAAACAGCAAGCTATTTTATTTTAAATAAAAAACAAGTCATTTTATTAAAATTTAAGTATAAAATAATGAAAATAAAATAAAGCTTTAAAATAGAATAATTAGGTGGACAGAAGATGCCAGGAAACCAGCCCCGGCCTTCAACACGTGCACAATATGTACACATAGACACGCATGTGCACAGACACACGTGCCTCACACAACACACACAAATGAACTGTGAGGTCAGCGTCATCTTCAGGTGACCAAGGCTGCAGTTTCTGAGCTGGAGAGCTCAAGTGGCCTGGACATGATGCCCATTCGGTCTCAAACTGAGCCAACGGATCTTCGCTTTAAGCTTTTCAGTATTGCTCGTAGTATTTGTGTTTACGCTCAACCAAAGAACAACAGATAAACACGGAGTAGCGACTGATTTCTACGGAGGGTTTTGTTTTCGTTTCATTCGGCGATGTGTTGAAAGCTGCTTGCCCCTTGTGGCAGAACAGCCTTGGCGCGCTCTCCCCGTCTGGACCTGGCGCTGTCGATCTGCATCTCCACAGCGCCCCCCCCCCCCTCCCGTCTCCTCTCTAAGGTCACTGGGATTCATCCCTGGTGCATGCATGGTGTTCGGCCCGCAGTGGACTCTGACCCTTGGACTCTGAGCTAACTGGACAGGGCCACGACATTCCAGTAAGAAATCTTGGCAAATCCTCTCGGACAGCCCCTATCGCATCTGCTTGGCTTCTCATTAACGAGGTTAGCAGTCAGGGTTCTGGCCGTTTCTGAACCCTCGCACCCGCCTTGCTTCCCGGTTCCCCTCACCTGGAGTCCCTGGGTGGCTACCCGGTACCCTGTGTCTGTTGATACAGCCGCCTGGTGCCTGTGCCCGTCTCTCCCCAGGGCGGAAGCCATCCCTCTCCCTTATCTACATGGCCTGGGCTGCTAGATCAGCTCCCTAATTCTCTTCCCCATAGTCACGTTACTCCCTAGAAATCCACTCGCTCTACTGTATCACTTCTTGCTTGATTCCTTTGGATGACTTTGGATTTAGAGCAAGGCCCGGGTTCTGGAAGGTTCCGTGGAACCCTACAGCTTCTTGCTTCAGCCTTCTATTTCCCCACACTCCTAGTCTTTGTCTCCCCAGAACATCTTCTATCTTTGGGACCTCTGGTCACTATGCCAGGGTCATGGCTATGGCTACTGGCTTCACCTGACCTCACACCTTCATCTCCTAAACACAAGTGGATGTGAAGCCCAGGTGTTTTGGTGGTAGCTTTCTCAGAGAATTTAATTGTGTTATTCCATGTTCACACAGGAGAAACAGAAGCTTCCATAACTCTCTTAAGTATAACTTATGAAAGTAGGAAGTAGCAGAGTGGGATTTGAACTTGAGCAGTCTGCCACCTCTTAGTGTCCAGGTTGGCTATGGTCACCTTTGCATTTCATTAAAAAAAAAAAAAAAAAGTTGTTGTCTTAGGTTTGCCTAGGAAAAGGTAGACAAGGATAAAATTATTAAAAAAAAAATAAAACTCAGTGCAGGAAATAATAGATACTTCATCTGGAAAAGGATTTATACTGAGAATTAGGTCTCATAATATTAATAGTCAGGTCTGGAGTCAAAGGTTGCCACCAGATACCTGACTGTCAAGAGCACGCTACTATAATCACGACCCAAAGTAAGGAATTGCTCTGAGGAAAATCGCCCTCTCCGTTCATTTTGCTGAATAGACCAGCCTCACGTGGAAGCACCTTGTCACGAGGGCCAGCCATAATGATGGCCTGAGTTCGAGCCCAGGGATCCAGACGGCGGAAGGAGAGAGCTCATTCCTCCAAGTTGTCCTCATCCCTACTCACATACGTACACACATGCACACAAAAGAAGACGCTTAAATTTTAAATATAAAAATCAAACCTTTGCGTCTCTGGTTTCTGAAAATAGCAGTCCCATATGCATCAACAGAGTTGGAAAGATGAGCCACACCCCGAGAAAAAGATCTGCAGTCCTGTAACAGAGCGGTGTACACGGAGCAGGTGAACGCTGAGAGTCTGGAGACCAGTGTTGGCAACCTGATGAAATACAGTGGCCCCAGAGAAAAAGAAGATGAAGTAGGAGGGGAGGTGTTGGGAAGAAGAGGGATGGAAGTAAGGGTGGTCAGGGACAGGCTATCTAAGTGATTGTGTGTGTGTGTGTGTGTGTGTGTGTGTGTGTGTGTGTGAAATCATGTAAGAAAAATAAATTATAAAACAACAAAAGCAGCTGCAGATGAGAAGAAGGAAGAAGGAGGAGGAAGAATAGGGAGAAGAAGAGGAGGAGGAGGGGAAGGGGAAGAAGAAGAAGAAGAAGAAGAAGAAGAAGAAGAAGAAGAAGAAGAAGAAGAAGAAGAAGA